ACAATGGTATTTTACTAAAATCACTTTAAAAAAACAGTGTTGCAATACATTATTTAATTAAATAACCCTGTTTGAAATTGAGGGGTTTTATGGCACATTGAAATCATTAATACCGAGTTTTTCATACAATTCCGTAGGCTCACACAAAGATTTTAATAATGTTGAAATTTTTTTTTCTTTAAGAAACGATGATATAGATTCTAACTCAGATAGTAGAAATATAATTTTTGCTTCTATTTAAAGGCGAGATATTTCTTACATGGAAAGTATCCTTGCAAATCAAATTAATTCCTTGAATAATTTTTTTTTAATAGTATTATGTAAAAAAATGCATATTTTGCTTTGATTGCCGAGACATATTATTGAAAATATAAATTTGGGAGCAAAACAATTTGCGACGAATCACATAAGTTTTGAAATATGCACGAAGACGAATACAATTAGAAGAATTTTAATTTCCAAACTATTTCTTTTAGGAAGTTAATAGTCTACTAATGACATTTTATTGAATTCTAGTAAATCGATATCTAAGTTTATATATTGACAATACTAAATACAGATAGAACCTTAAGGACTATTCCTATTATACGCAACCATATAAGAAGTTAAAGGATGAAGATATTAAATGACATTTTAGTGAATTCTAGTAAAATAGGCTTTAATATGACAGAAAATAAAAATTGAAGCTTTAGAATCAACTTAATGAGCAATGATCTTCGGCTTATTATAACTTATATAAGAAACTACTGAAAAACTTTTTGCACTCCTATTAAATGTTCAAAGCATGAATTTCATGTCAAAATAAATAGTAATAATAACCAAAATGTAACATATAATAACTACGCATCACATTTTTCACTAGAATAATACATACATAACAATATCCATTTCCCAGTACGTCATTATAAACATAACATAAATTTAATATTAAAATAAAAAAAGGAAAATATCATTGTATTTTAGTAACAGATATCCGGTAATGAAATTTCGTGTATATTGTTACGCAAAAGATTCATTATACCATAATTTTGAATAGACTTAATTGTATGAACTATTTCCAGGATGTCGTTCGTATAAATGTGTAATAACCATATATTTTTAAACATTCTTTTTTTTTCGTTACATCATATCTTTATCCGAACATGAAAACTCAGTAAAAAAGAGATTAACAACTGAATACAATGTGACATAAATTTACTCGTTAAGTTAGTCCGTCGAAATGATTTTTTTCCCCTGCTTTTTCGGGTGGGACAAAGACTTATAATGAATCTAAGGGTGTGTCCCTAGTAATATCTATGGAAGAGATAAAATGGAGATTTTATCTTGCCTAAATGTGAATAAGAGTAGAGTTTTACGCAACATCCCCTATTTCTAAATTATTGCTATTTAAAGATGAAAAATGCGATAAATGTTTTAAAGAAATATTATAATATTTATTGAATTCTTGTAAAATATTTAAATAATTGTTTATGTCCTTGATTATCAGTCCCATTCAAGAAGTCCTTCTCTCTTTTTAGATTTTCAGAACTAATAGTAAATTATGATATCTAAACAAAACTTAATTGCTTTATGTATATTTTGAATACATTAACTACTTTGAATAACAATTGTTCTTTAGACAATATNAACACTTATATATATATATATATATATATATATATATATACGTGTGTGTAATATTATGCCTTTAGAGATTAGATAATTGAAGAGACTTTGGCTAATACTTTTGAAAAGGCGTTTTATTAATGGATCTTAAGCTATTTAAAATAGCGTTCGTTGGCAATAATGGTTTCCCCATTGCAGGGATGTTTGGATTGGGCCCATATTTATCTAGCCATGAAAATATGAAAAAGACATTTATTTTTGGTTGTCCCGATATTAAAAGAGAGGTCCTAAAAGGAAGGTAGTTGCAAGGATCTTCTTATCTCAATGAAACTTCATTCAATTGATAAAATTTAGAGATTTTGATTCGCTAAAAGGATAGCGCCTTTCTGGTGCCGGGAAGCTCTTGGGACTATCTTAATGTGTACTTCATCTATGAATCATTGCCCATTAACTTCAGAAAATAATCTTTTATCTGGCCTTATCTGGTTCATCTAGACTTTTTATGAGACCGATTTCTACATCCTAAACTTGATAGGAAACAGATGTTTTAAGCTTATCAGTTAATATAGAAAGACTCGCAAGAAAAATTCTATATTACATTGTAATATAGAATCAATCAATCAGCATTTAGAAATTAAAGCCATTATCATGTAATAAACACGTGCAAACATCCCAACGGAAATTAGATCAAAATATTATAAGGTAAAAATATTATATAAAAAATACAGAAATATCGATAAATAATTATAAAAATAATAAAAACTGTTGTAATGTAAGTTATCAGCAGCAAAGAACAGTACATACCTTTTGAATAAAGATATGTTTGGTTTCACTATAGCAACGAAGCGAACGGCAAAAGCTGTAGGACATGTTGCTTTTATATATATNATATATATATATATATTACATTTTGAGAACTATTCAGATCAAATTTTTAACGTTTGAAAGAGGATAACTCTGCCAATAATTATTTGCAATTGAACGTTCCTAAAGTAAAATATAGTATTACTTGTATTAAAACTAATTCTGGTAACTGGAGACATAAGTAATGGATCATCCATTTAATCTTTAAATTATTATTATTGTAAATAATAACTATATAACTTTGTGCATGATTCTTATGTGACTTACAATGATCTTTTAGAAATCGTGAATCAATCGTAATTCGTCAATTTTTAAAATTTAATTGTAACTCTATACATCTTAATTTCCTGTTTATTTTATCATATTTTGAATACAATGCGATAATTTCATTACAGACAATTCTTCCGAATTCTACACCTGATCCTTCGAAATTATCATATAAGGAATTTAGGAAACACGAAATATGTTGTTGACATTAACTTGTGCAAACTAAGTCAACGGTCGTTTCAGGAAATTGCGGCAAACTCGAAATTTCAACAAGCTCGGGTGTCTCAACCTTTGCACTTGTATCATTTCAATGCTTCGATTCTCTTGAATTTTAACCATATAGATATCGAACTAGTTATTTGTTCAAGGAGATTAGAGTTCGGCTCAATGACCGGTTTCCATAGATGTTGAAATTCAATTTATCTAAACATTAAATAGGGATGCTAATAGAAAGTCTCGGAGTGATCGCATTTTGAAATTTTAAAATAATAATTTGAATGATATCAAGGTGATATAAATGGTATCAGAATATAAATTGATGATTATTTCTAAGGGTTATTTTTGTTTTAAATATACTTTGTCTACTTGATGCTAAGGATTGATAATGATATTTCTTCATGAATTTCTTTTAGAAACTAATCTGGAATTTGGTTGTAAAAAAAGTAACTTGGTATAAGGTTAAATATAAAAAAGAGCCTAAAATAGGTTAACATATTCAAAAACTCTAACTGGGATTTACTTTTAAAAAACAACAATAAATTAACTTGAAGCTACATGATAAAAAACTTTATTTGCTTAAATGTAAAGATAAGAAATAATAGTCGACATATTTCAAGCGCTCAAAAATAGAAACCCACTTTCAAGACTTGCCAGACGTAATGGGAAGGGAGAAAATTGATTGGAAATATGAAACATAAAATTGTCAACGAAAAATGGAAAATAAAGGTGAGAAGCAAAGCTAGAAAAATCACTGTAGCTAAGAAGGAAAAAAAGATGAAAAACAGAGAAAGAAAAACCACAGTGGCCAAGAGAGGCAAATCAGGGCAAAATGCATTTTTTTGGAAAAATTGCATTTCTTTTAGGGTAAATGTATGAATCGCACCTCTCGGCCACTGTGGTTTTTCTAATTCTGTTTTCATTTTTTTCCTCGGTTACTGTGGTTTCTCTAGTTTTATTTCTTAACTTTATTTTTTCCTTTTTCGTTAGAAGTCGTCAATCAAATCTTGAAAATAGGCCCCTATATTTGAGAGCTTGAAGCAAGTCGACTGTTATTTCCTATTTATATATTTTTGAAGCGAATGTAGCTTTTAATCAGTTGATATCAGTGGGCTTCAGTTTCGTGGGAGGATTTTTTTAATGTGGAACTGGCTCATCAAATTAAAAATTAACCTATATTACTGATTCATAAAGGAAAGAAACTGGTTTAAAATGTAATTAATAAGTAAAAGAAAAAAAACGCTGTATTTTTTACCGAATACAGGAAATGAACATGTAATATTGTTCATAAAACGCAAAAAATACACCAGGAATCAGTTTGAAACACATAAACTAACCTAGAATTTCGTTACATCAAATACCTAACCCTCATTGGTACAGGATCAGTTAAACTTAAGTTTACTGGTTACTGGTTTACTGGTCAGTTAAACATAAGTTACTTAAGTTACCCTGTTATATATACGTTATATGAATTGGTTACTTAAGCTACCCTGTTATATATACGTTATATGAATTATGGGAAAATTGTATCTACAATAAAAATATTAGTTTAAAATTGACAAATAAATGGCTCTCTTCATTTGCATGTAAGAATTTAAATAATTTCTTTACCATTTCTGACCCTCAAAAGTTACTTTTATATAACACTATTTCTCCGCCCTTATAAGTAAGAAAGTGTTTCTGGCAAAATTGTTTTATGAGAATGACAGTAATCTGACAACTGCGTAACGACAATGCCGAGGTTTTGTTACTGTATATCGAGAAACACAACTTGATACTGTTGCACATATAATACTTTTTAAAACATATACTCTTCGAAAATGGAATGGACGTTTCCATCTGGTGCTCTAAATTTGAACTATTTTCATAGAAAATTTCTTTTTCTCGTTTAACGAATAAAGTGCATACCAAATTTCCTTGAACTCTATCTGCCGGAACTGACTCCATATAGGTCTAAACTGAGTGTTATAGTCAACCTGTATTTATGACATTGTGTATTATTTTATATTGCTTTCTTTACATGCTTTACTTTTCTTTTTTTATTCCAGTTCCGACAACGCATTGTAAACATCTACATTTCTGGTTATTCGACTTCAGTCATTGCACTGCTTATTTCATTGGGGATCTTTTTCTATTTTCGGTAAGGCTGTTTCCATTTCTTATTAAAGAAAAGATACTCAATCGTGGTAGCAGATCTCGTTTTTCAATCTCAGAAGAAAAAAAAAGCAGTGCATTAGCTAAGTTTGTATCTAGCTATAAGTAAAGCAAATCTAATAATGATGTCATTGTTTTCCAATGCATTTTTATTTTCAGGAGAATCACATTGTAAAAAACAGTTTTCCCTTGTTAATATATATATATATATATATATAATATAAACGCAATAAACAGTCAAAAAAGAAAAGAGCGATTAATGAACAATATTAAGAAAAAATAATAAGTTTTATTCATTGTGCATAAGCTGCAAGTACGTAGATCAAAGAAAATAACTTAAAAACACAAAGAAAACAAGAAAAAATAAATTTTTTAAGAGACGAAAAAAGAAACTCTTACTAAATAAAATGTTTTTTTTTTAAAAAATGTAATAGTCGGAAACTAAAATAAAGGAAAGATATAATTTCGTCTTCATCTTACAGGAGTAAGTACATAAACATAAAATCTGCAAGTACATAAAATATTTGTTTTTCATCAGCTTAAAATTAATAAAAATCATAATCATAATAAAGGTATTGTTTTCTAGCAAGTAAATTTTGTATCCCAAATTTAAAAGTAATATTACCTGCAATAATAATTTTTCTTATTTTACTCAGCTGTTGTTACATTTTAATTATGATTGTTATTTTAAACAAAAAGTTGAAAACTAAAACATTTTGTTTCTTCATTTTAACATTATACTACCTTTTTACACTATATAAGATAAACTTAACTGAACCGATGTTTGAACATGTTCATTGTTTTACAATTATTTTTATTATTGCACACACATAAGCAAACAAGATTCTTTTTAGTACATACATGTTTAAAGTTGATAATTTCAACTTCCCGAGAAAAAAAAACTTTTTTGTGCAGAGAAACAACAATTATTGCGAAGCAATCATCATGATTAGTGAGGGGCAGCGAGCAGGGAGTTTAACCTTCTAGTATTAAAATTTACCTGTGTTCTATACACAAGTCTTCACAATAGTTCAAATTTTCTAATTTTTCATTAACAACTAAACTCAATAAATTAACGTACTTAATTTGTGTAAAAATACCAAATTTGCAGCTAGTGATCAGCCAAAAAGTATAGTTACTTATTAGAACTGCCACTAACTCTATCTTTGGTATTTAATTTCACAGATGTGTCCAATGTACCAGAATCACCATTCACAAGAACTTATTTATGTCTTTTATCATCAACAACATCATGTGGATAATATGGTATACCGAAGTCGTCCAGAAGCCATCAGTATTATTAAGCAATGAAGTAAGTCTATTTTATTTTAAATGGCTCTTTTAAAGTTGCGTGGAATGTAAAGTTTAGTGCTGCAAGAACCAGAAACAGCTAATGTGTGTTACCACATCAAACTGGGTAGTTAAAGTTATGAAACAGAAAGGAAACTCTAACAAAAAAAGGGTGTAATATCAGTTGGACTCTTCAAGCAATTCTTCAAGCTCTCGGTCTCAAATATAGGGAGGAAAGGCTGACTCATTGCGGTTTGCTGTATGCACTTCTTTCCATGTACTTACATGGAGAGTAGTTGTTGTTTGGTTAGGCAGCTTCCTGCCGATTGACTTATAATTTTTTGAAAACTTAGAAAATGGAAACTTAGTTAAAGATATCAGGTATTAAAATAAAATATTATCTATCTCAGATTTCGTATATGTATTAAAACTAAGGCATTTAAACTCCTGTCATTTTCAATATTCTTGTTTCACAGATCAAAACTCAGCAATTTTCAAATTCACTTTCATTTTATGACCACTGCACGTTTGTTTCAAAATTCGATTATCTGTTAAACATTAAAGAGAAATATAAAATCTCAAATATCCCCTCCATGTCAATAGGTAGAAACAAATAAACAAACACTAAATTTATCGAAATTTCGTTCTGTTTGCGCTTCAACAATAATTCTGTATCAGAACGTGATGCTTAAATCCTCTCTATTTAATTAAAACAATACAACAAGTGTTTGATGTTTGCTTTTCCCAATGCGTGTCAAAACTAGCGAGTATCGATTATCTGAATTCAAAACTCCTGCGTTGAATTTTAAGTGTATTCTTAGTTTTTGTTTATACGTTTGAGATTTTCAATCAAATTTCTGATTCTTTAATCACTAAAAAGTCACCTTAATTAATCTCTCGAGTTACTATTATTCAATAGAACAAACAGATGTTTTCAGCAGAAGATAAACGGAATGTTAATCGTTAGTTAAATCCATGTACCCATTAATTGGAATAAATGTTATGGAATTATAGCTAAAGTTTTCACAGTACAAATGTGTTATTAAGTTTCTGGGGTTAACTATACATATTCTGGATAATAGAAAAACTTCACTTGCTACATTAATTTATGAAACTGGAAATAATCTACATATTTCGAGTGCTTAACCTCTTCCTTCTCGCTCCCGTGAAAATGACGGGGTGAGGTTTCGCCCTTTATTTCTCGCTCCCGTGAAATTTCCGGACTGGAGTCTTCAATGGCAAAGCGCCAATAAGAATAAAACTAATTAATTTTTTTTGCCCGGAGATTTTTTTTTTCTTATCATTTTACACACTAGGTGGCAGTACCAGGATATTTTTAAGGTAATTGTAGATAGTTAGTTTAATTTAAACTAGATGTCAGCACTAATCAAATACGTGTATTTTGCAAAATAGGCACTTTTATGACCGTTTTCTTGAAAAATTAACCGATCATTAAGGGGTTAAAAATAGGCTTTTACAACTTGACAAAACATATTTGAGATATTCATCGTAAAGTTACCAACGAGAAAAATAGAAAATAAAAAAAATGAAAATCAAAACCAGTAAATATGGTGGAAAGCTGTTACGAGATATTTCCTCCTACTATAGGGATTCATGAGGTTTGAGGTGAGGAGAATAACTTCACACATGGAAATGCAACCTGCACTTATTTGCCTGTCCTGACTACCACAATTTTTTCTAGTTTTTTTAGCCTTTAATTATTTTCCTTTTTTTTGCCATATTAAATTTTCTGTTTCAAATCTGTCTGGCTAGTCTTGAAAAATAACGCCTAATTTTAAGCACTAGAACATGTCAACTTAGCGCACTTTTATAATCTAAGAAACGATTTTTGTTTTCATATGTATATTATCCCCCTTTAGTTTCTTGTAATCATTTGTTTAAGTTACTGAATACCTGTTCTCCATAAATGCTGGAAAAAAATCAATGATCTGTGTTCATCAGCACTATAAGATCATGCCCGAAACTGAAACCCGGAACTAAGCTAAAATAATTCCAATTTTTTTTTCCAATTATTTTTGCCCCTCTTGATCGGTTTATGTTATAAGATTTGGTAAAGCATGCTTTCAGGCGTTTATCTCATCAAAATAGAGATTCAATATCGTAGACAACTCCTGAAAGTCGAAAATTACAATAATCAACAACTTTCGATATATGATAAAAAAAATTTCTGGTACTTATTTCATTGATGGGCTATAAAAACTTATTTCCACAGTAAAAAACAGTAGATATCTTGCAAATAATATTTACTATATTTTAAAGATCACAAGTAACATAATAGCAGTAGTACATTACTGAAATGAATTAAACATCAATTTTTGCCAATTAGAATAAAACAATTGTTATGGTTCTTCTAGATATATAAGCACTTTCTCTTCATTAATTTAGTTTTTTTAGAAGTTTTTTTAAATTAAATTTATATTTAGTTTTAAAATTAATTTTCATTGGCGAAATAAAAATAGGGACTTTTTTACTGTTCTAATAATGTTATTATTGATGATACTAATAAGTATCATCAATTTCGTCTAAGTCTTCGTCTTTTTTAAAACAAAACTTTTTTTTTCTATTCATGCCTATAACCAAAAATAATGATTGTAATTCCCAAAAAGAATTAGTAACGACACTAATAATAGTATGAACAATTTTGGTTAACAAACTAATGTTGGTAGTCATAAAAGTTGTTAAACAATAACATTTTCGACAATGAAGTTAAGAAATCGATAATAATAAAATAAATAGTCTGTGTGTATTTCTATTATAACTCTCTCTTATATCTGTTGTAGAGACATTGATTGTTTGCTTAAGAGACAAGCAAAAAAATTTCAATGACATAAATAACATTTTATGATTAAGAATGCTCATAATTACCGAAATTTTGAACTATAAGTTTTACAGAAAAACATAATACTTAAAACAAAAAATGCATTGTGTAATTTTCTTTTCAAACTTTAATATTTTGATATGATCTTTCCTTATCATCGTTCTTTTAAATGTATTTATTACGTTATTTAGATAATTACTTAGTTCAAAAAATTAAAAACATATAATTTGTTTTAAAGTTTGTTAAAAATTTCTTATTTTTTTAACATTAATTACAATTGCTTATTATCTCTTCACTGTCTTGCGGTAATTCAAACTGTGTTGGTTATTTGAGTAGTGTATTGCGTTATAAACTTGCGTAATGAATCATTTACTACTTTTTTTTCACTATCCATTTCATAAACTTTAGACTGAAACTATCTATAACTTTTCTTTTAAAAAAGGTGATTATAGTTTGTTTTCGCGTCTTTCCTGTTGCAGCAAATAACCTTGAAGATGTGAATTATACTTCTTCATCAAAAGTACTTATTAAATGTACAGCAAATGTACATTAGTTTATATTTTATTTTATTTTATCAAGAAAAACTTTGTTGTTTTTAACTGTATTAGAAGGCAGAAAAGAATTTAAGGCAACTTTCTTTTGAGACAGTACTTTGAAAAGTACTTTTTATAAATATAACCACATACTTTTCGTGGTCTGCCCAGTGACCAGTCAGCCCGATGTTACTAACCAGATATAAATTAAGAATATATTTTGGTATTTGAATAGATTCTAGGTCTGTTTTTTGTTTTAGAAACCTTATGACTACAAGTTTGGTTACCTTTCAAAATTTTCTTGTGTAGCATATAAATTTTAATGGTAACGAAGCCTAATACACATGCAACTATATTTAAATATTCTAATTCTTCAGTTCCTTCTCTCATTTTAACACCTTAATTAGAAGATTGTTTTTACCGTCAATCTATTGCATGTGGCTTAGCGCGCAAGGAAGTACTTTAACTTCAATTTTAATTATTTTCAAGATATGTCCGCAATGTTGCCAAAGCTTTTTTATGCATTGAATTTTAGTAATAATTTAAAATCTGTCCGTTAGCCATGAAATAACATAAACCACAGAGTTCGGGAAAATAATACAAACCGTATGAGGGCACTAACAATGAAATAACACAAACCGTACGTGTTTGGAACATTTCAGCATATGAGGCGGCAGAAGTATTAAAATTATTTCCATCTCGGTCATGTAATAAGATGGAAAATTCCTTCCAATGCTCCATTACGTGCTGTACTACTTCCTCACGCACCTCTCGAGCCGTAACATGAGTATCGTAAAATTTAGGCATGACGTAGCTCGAAAAAAAAACAAGCTCGGTCCCCATTGTTTGGTATGAACGCGTGCGTCACTATAGCACCTTTTATGTTTGAAATTTCTGCAGCCATTTTAGAAATGATCAAAAATAAATAATAATATAATAAAGAGAAATCACAATAATATCTCCTCAAACTCATTTTTATTTTTCAAAAATGCAAAACATCTTTTTTTTTTAAAAAAAAACTGACACTTATTCTTTGTCTAACTATGTTGCCATTAAAGGGGAACTAAACATAGGATACAAATTTAAAATCGTGCATTTAATCAAACTACAAATGCAACGTAGAGGTTGCTTTTCATCGCAATACAAACTCAGCATAAAACTAAATAATTACTTCAGAACTAAGTTTCATTTTATCTATAAAAAAAAACGAAATTATTCTCAATAAACAACCTATAACTAACGTATACTTAAGATAACATAAAAAAAACTGAATATTTTTACTGTTGCCAATAGATAGAGAAATACCGGAGATAATGGTGCCACGTAAGAGAAATATATTTATAGAGAGAGATTGCTTCAAAACATCAAAGGGACACTACAGAATGGTAAATTAGATAATCGATGGTAGCATTTGTTTTAAGAGATATGAAGTCCATATAACACTTCATCATATGAAACATGTTTCTTTCAATAACTATAATCATGTCAATTAAGCTATAATTAAAAACGCATTAAGCTATAATTATCTCCTAATACGCATGCAAGACTAGCTCCAGATTTCCCGATTCTCTTTATTACAAAACCAAATACTTTTAATTATGGGTTAATGTGAAAGCTACTGTATATGGAATTCAAATACTAGCTTTAATT